TTTTTTTTTAAAAAAAAAAACCTTGTTAATAAGTGAAGTCAACAATCTGGTGTTCTCAAGATACAACTTTTAGCAAAATGCATAACACAAAAAGTATGTTAATTTAAATATTTGGTTATTTTATTCTTTATTATAAAGCCAGCATTATTATAAACCAATTATTTTTTTAAACCAAGCTAAAGTTTAAAAATAAACCCACTGCCTTAAAAGAATAAGGTTTACAACTAAGTGAAATGAGCATTCTTTATTTTTCCTTAAGTGCTTGGAAATGAGCACATTTAAGATTTTTCTATTGTTTCACTTTAAAAGATGAACTTACCCTTCACTCTCCTCCGAATTCAAACATGCCTTTAATTCTGTGGTGTATCTTTGGTTTTTATAACTCTTCACTAATGTCCACTATCAACCTCTCTTACCTATACTCTTACTTTACCATTTCCTAAAGTTCTGAGTTAAACATTTTTTAGCACTAACAAAGCGTATACTGCTACTCGTTAGCCCATTCTCCCAGATAGCAGCACCTTTTTTTTTTTTTGAGACACCTACAATCCTAGCAAAAGAAGTTTGGTTGGATTAATTTTCAAAAATGTTATATTTCACATTTTTTTTCTCAAATTAGCTTTTTAGTGGCTCCAACAAGGGTTCAGTTAAACAGTTGGGCTTAAATTCAGCTGTGAACTAGAGTTCAGGACAGGCATTCGTTTTTTGTAAGAAATAAGAGAACATCATTAACCTGGATTTCTGTGCCAGATTTATTTCCCCAATGTAAGCTTGGTCTGCCATTTCTTTTAAATTCTAAATTGTTACAAAATAGCCTTATAAGGATTGATTACATGATATGAAAGTATATTTGACTCTTAAGAATTCCTGCTTCAAGGTCATACACAGTCTGTGATGTTTTGGGAAATTCCTCCTAAGGTTCTCCCTTAATTTTCCAAAATGTCCCATTTTATAACAGGAACATTTTATGGTATCAGTACAAAGAGACCTCACAGGAAGCAATCTCCATTTAAAATTCGTTAAAGTAACAGAATTATATTTAACATCACATGACAAAAGAGGCTTTGCAGCTGTGACTAAATGAAGGGTCTTGAGAAAGGAAGATTTCCCCAGATTATCTGGATGTAACCAAAAGGTCCTTGCAAAAGGAAGGCAAGGGTCAGTCAGAGAGAAATTTGAACGTGCCCTGTTGCTGACTTTGAAGGGAAAGGGCTTGGAGCCAAGGAATGTTGGCAGTCTCCAGAAGCTGGAAAAGGCAAGGAAATGGATTCTCCCTTAGAACCTCTGGAAGGACCCAGCCATCACGTCTGATTTTGGACTTGCTTTAGATAATGCTTAATTTGTGGTAATTTTAAAAATATTTTTTATTAACATTCTTTTTCTCTTTTTTAAGGATTTATTTATTTATGCATACAGAACTGGGGTACAGGCTACAGGCACAGTGGTAGCAAGAGGATTCACCAGAGTGGGAAGCAGAACAGGCGGACCAACAAAGTACACTGCTGAGGGGCGCAGTGGCAGGTAAGGAGAGGTCTGCTAAGCCATGTGGGTAACCTCCAGGGCTGGGGATTGAACTCGCACTGAAGCTGCTGCGGCTGGCTGTGTCCTAACCCACTGTGCCATCAGAGAGAGCCCCAATTTTTGGTAATTTTTAACAGTAGCAGTATGAAACTTGTAAATTATACCTCAACAAATTTGACTTAAATAACAAAAAGATAGTACAGTATTTAGTATGATACAGTGTAAAATGTGTGGTACTGGGTCAGAAGCATCAGAGACATTTGTTTACTAGACTATATGATCATCTATATTTCTAAAAATATCTTTTAATAATTATTGTATAGATTTAAGGATATACTTTATATAAAATTTAATCCACTTCATATACTTTTGATAGTAATTATTTTACAGGAAGCATATGAATTGTTGAGTATCACACAAAAGTTTTGTTACTCTCTGTTATGACTACAGTATTATAGATTTCTTCAGTATCCCTACTGCTACTGAGTAGTTATTACTGGTCTGATCTACAAAGCTATTATTTGGATTCCATGTATTTTGCTTGTATCCAAAAGTTATCTATAATAATAATAGCTCCAGGTTATGGCTTTTAACATTGGATTAAAAAGTTATATAGCCTGAGGTACTACATTCTTCAAGTAGGCAATGACCAGACTGTCCTGCAAAAGAGCTCCTGAATCTAAATCTAAATTTGTATATAATGAACATCCATCCAACCTGATTTTCTTGCCCATTTTTGGGATCTATGTAGGGAACTGGTTCATTCAGTGTTCTTGCATTTGTGTTAATGAATTTAGCATAACAGACACGTCCTCTCCCAATACATGGTTTTGAATGTTGTATAGTTTTTACAGGTATCTTCTCATATTTGATTTCTTCTTTCTTTTCATTTATAAACATTATATCAGCATCTTCTATTTTATGCTGTCTGAAAAACAGAATTAAATAGTAAATAATTTATCCCCCAAAGCATTTCAGTTCTAAGTCTTTATTACAGAAAATAAAATTTAGATATATTTCAGCTATCAATCAAGACAATCATTTGCTTTAAGAAAGAGGAGATTTAATCTTGCTTACAAATCTTGTTGCAGGATTTATGTGTGTGCCTAAGTTACATGCTAATCTTAAAAGCATCTTCGTTAAAATTTTAGTTTAGGGGATTCAACCATATGAACAAGGGTAATTAATTTTAAAATCTTACCTGGCACACTTACAAAAGATAGCAAATGATGACCATTATTATTTTTATCTTTTCAAGAAAAGTTCACTGTGCAGGTATCAGGACAGTTAAGTCAGTCCCATACCTTTTTGCTACATTGGTGCAAAAAAAGAAAACTTTGTTTTCAAATGTCAAGAAAATTTTTTTTTCTCCTTTTAAGTAAAGAGTAATGAGCAATATAAAAGGTGTCATTGGGCAAACCAATTCACATTGGGTTGCCTGACTGTGGGTCATCACCCCTGTGCTTAGATTCAACTGCAGGAACACACAAAAAGGGTCAATAATGGGTTTACTTACAAGGGAAAGGGGAAACAAATAACTCAGGGAGAGAGAGAAAGAGAAGTTAATTAATACATCCTACCAGTTCCACTGACCTGGAACCCCAATAACATGCTGAAAACTGGTGAAGAGCCAAGAGACAAGCCGCAAGCCACAAGGCCAAGAGACCCCCGAAGCCCACATGTCTGGTTTTATATCCAAAACCGACTGCTTAACTCCACACTCAGGTCCCAGCATGCTTCTACTCGGTATTGATGGGATTTGTAGTTTCAGTAGCTGGGGTGGGGGTGAAGTCCACAAAACCTGTATCTGTAGAATTTGTTCGGAACATCCTTCCCCCCTTACAAAGGTAGTATTTTAAATTTTCACATACTTGAAAGTATGGGTAATAATATATGAATTTGAATCATTTTATATTGAAGCTTTAAAAAAGCAAATTCCTGTCTCACGGAAGGCGAGTAAGACTCTGCATTTATAGAACCACAGTGAGTGCTTCTGTTTAGCTTTATCCACAACCCTTAAACTATCACCCCCACTTTACTTCAAACCAAAGCTAGGTCCATTTCTTTCATCATATCACTTTTCAATTAAAACTCTCAAATGATTTTCCACTGCATTCACAGTAAAATGTCTCTTAATCTTTCTGTAAGGCTCCCTGTGATCTACTTTAGCTAATCTCTTCTATTGCACTCAAGGTCTCCCCACATTTATTCCAATTCCTGGAATACGTCAGTCACTTCCCAGACATGGGAGTGTCCACCAGATCATTTGCAAGCAGTCTTTTCTGCTTCTTCTGTTTTCTCCAGGTCCCTGCATTTAGGTTCATTTAGGTCTCAGCTTAAAAGTCATCTACTCAGAAGCTTTTCCTAGGTTCTGACACTGCCCCCCACCATATCATATGAAGTCTATCTTATTACTTTGCTCATTTCATTTACAACCATAATCTACATTTTGTTTCTTGTACCTTTGTTTTTTGTTTTACTTGATTTTGATAATCCCTACAAATACCCTTTATTATCAATAAGTTCCATGAAGGAGAAGACCGTTTCATTCATCATTATACCCAACATCTGGACACCCAAACATCTTGTTTGTTGCAACGCAATAGATTACCATTATAATATACATATTTCTGGAGAAACTGCTGGCAGTCTTTCACTCTTTGTTTTAGTTTTACAGGTCCGTCAACCCTCATTCCAAAACACAAACATCAATCAGCAGCCTTGGGTTCTAGTTCCTTGTATCTCAGCCAAAATAGTTGTTGGCAAAGGATTTGGGTAAACTGATTACTGATAAAAGTGTAATTAACTTCTAAAACTTTTTCTATTACCTTTTCAGAGATATATAATAGAATTCTGGCACCAGTTGTTTTTCATATGCTTCTTGTAGTTGTAACTCAGTAATCCATTTGTATTAGAATCAGGTTCTTGAAGGAAAGGACTGTGGCTATGTTACAAAACTTTGATTTTGTTTGATTAGATACTTGTGATGTGAGCTGACATATATGTGTATATAATTCTATAGTAATTTCTTACTGGAAAGGAAACATTTAATAACACTAACAGGCTCTGAGGTAAGTCAGAGCTAGGCTTGAATCCTAGCTCAGCTATTTACTGAGTCTTAGTTTATTTGCATAAAACAACACTACCTAATGTGATGGTATGAGAATAACACTGACTAGCTCATTCTTTGAACAAATATTTATTAACTTGTGTACCCAGTGCTGTATGAGGCATGGAGGAAGAATGACAAAACAAAAATTCCTGCCTTCATAGAGCATTCCAGTGCGGAAAGACAAATGGGAAATATAAGATATATAAATAAAATATATATTCTGCTAGATGGCATTAAATACTAAGGACAACAGTATAGCAGGGAATGGGGAAAAGGAATGATGTGCAAGGGAGGCAGTTAGCCTTGATAGGGTGGAGGCTGCATTTTGAAGGTGGCAACTGAAAAAGACAAGAAAGAGTGGAGAGAGCTAATTGGATATCTGAGGTAAGAACATTCCAGTAAAATATGTAACTAAAAACCTGTGCAGCAGAAACACCTGTTCTCAAAATGGTGCTTCTCAAACTGTGTTTCCAGAGTAGCAGCAGTTGTCAGTTTGTTAGAAACACAAATTCATAAGACTCATTTCCAACTAGAAATCAATCTCTGGGGCATTTATCCAGTAATTTGTTTTAATAAGCTCTCTAGATGATTTTTCTATGTGTTAAAAGTTTGAGTCCCTCTAAAAAACAGGCTTTGGAAGCAAATATATCTAATCCATGTAAAAATGACTCTAATAGTCAATAGTTCTCAAAATTTAGAGTATATCAGAAATACCTGGCAGTCTTGTTAAAGCCCAGATTATTGTGCCCTATCCCCAGTTTCTTACTCCACTTATCTGTGAGGGTGAGCACTAAAGCATTTGCATTTCTAATAAGTTCCAGGCGATGCTAACCCTGGGGTCCGAGGGTTCATACTTAAGAGAATCACTACAGACGCAAAGAGGTTTGTGTTCTTGGAACAGAGTCCTATTAAAGGAAAGTAAAGATAGGGTAGGTTAGGCAAAAGAGGCACGATGAAGGCCTCTGGCTATTACAAGCGATTTGACTTTTACTCTGCAGTGGAGAACTGTGCTCCAACTCAAGTTTTAAAAAGACCACTCCGACTGCTGTTGTTGAGGAGGTTGCGGAGCGAAAAGGAGACCAACAAAGTCCACTGCTATACCAGGTAGGACAGCTAATGTGTGGTCAGGTTAACAGTGATAGGACTTAATAGTGGCGGGTTCTGGATGTATTCAGTGGTTTAAAGGTAGATCCTGCAGAATTTGCTCATGATTGAGATGTGAGATGTGATTCAAGATGACTTTATCTTAGGCCAGACAGTGCATGTGAAGGGCCTGTCACCCAGCATGTGCCTGGTAGAACGTGCGTTTTAAAAGTGTTCAAAGCATGGAAGCATTCTAGCCCTGGAACTGAGAGGGGAAGATGGGTGGAGGAGGGTACGCCCGGGTCTCACTGGCCCTCCCTCGGCAGGAGGAACAGGTTTTTCGGAGGCGAAGATAGAAAGCAGACCCCGGCACTTACTGCTGCGTCTCCTCCTTTCCCAGCATGGGCGCCTGCGGCCGGAGGCTGGAAGTGAAGGGCCTCTCGGGGAGGTAGGGGACCAGCCCCGCCGGGAAGGGGCGCGCGGCGGGCGACTGTGACTCTCGCGTTGCTACGCGACGACGGCGCGCGGCCGCGGGGGGGGCGAGGAGCAGGGCTCGCGCGCGCTGGCGCAATGGGCGGGCGGCGCACGGCTGCGGGAACGCGCGGACAGGGGTCGGGCCTCCTCCCGGCCCCCGCGATCTTGGAGCTTTTTGAACTTGGCCTTAGTTGCCGGGCGGGCGGGGTGTTTATCCGGCTTTTCTCTACTCCGACGTGTCCGGGAGGTGCTGTTCCTGAACTGCCGGCTGCTCGGGCGCTGGGGCGGCGCTGCCAGCGATCCCGCGGTGCCCAATTTGCAGAACTGCCCGGGCTCTGCCGGCGGCTGCCTGAACCGACTCCGAAATTTCAGGCCGGCGGGAGGGAAACTGCTGTGCGGTGCAATATTAAATACTGCTGCTCCTGGGCCTCCTAGTCTGTGCGTGGTTGTCACACTCGTCCACGGTTTCTGACAAATTCTCCCTAGCCTGGCGGCAAACATTAAAGCAAAGACGGGGAACACTAATCTCTTGCAAATGAGGCTCCCCACGGTGTGTGCATCTGTTTGGACCTGACGTGCTAAGGTGGAAGGGACTGGAGGCTTAGGCTGCGGGTTGGAGCTTGTGCGTGTAGCCCTTAGCCAAAAAGAGCAAGCTCCTGGGAAAAGCAGTTGATGACTTGTGACCATCCACCTTCTGGCCCTGGAATTTCTTACCTCATTTTACCATTGCCTCCCAGTTTCCACTAACGCAGCCAAAAGTCTTTGGCTTCACTCATGGTAACTTTTTTTTTTTTTTTTTGCATTTTCCTCGATAATGGGGAAAGAAGAATTCGTATTGAATTCAGCTATATACTGGACTCTACATGTGTTTTCTAACCCAGTTTCTGAGTAGTGAGTTTGGGTTTACAGTTATTTTGAGGAAATATGAGAGCAGAGATTGAGCCAAGGACTTGTTTTACACAAGTGAGCTTGTGTACGAACTCATAACTAGAGGTTTAATACATTGTTTCCTAGACACCTGAATGTGAACTAGGTTTGTAAAAAGACCAGTGAGTGTGAATGTGTGGATATGCTTCTGTGTGGGGTTCCGGAGTGGGTGGGTAAGTAAATATGAGAGCAGGTTGAAAACCAATAGCAGGTAAACCATTTACGGAACTCCTGTTTGGGAGCCAGGCATAGGTTGGATACTATATTAAACATCACACTTACTTTGTTCTATCCTAACTGTCCAAATAACATCAGGGTCCAGGCCTGTGGGCAGTGTTTGAGTCCAGACCACCGCTTAGAGCTGGGTTCACTCAGGCAAATGATCTCACCTATGGGATGTTTGGTTCCATTTTGAGTCATTTAAATACAAATACAAATATATTTATGTCATCACTTACCAACTGTTAGGCAGCTTATACATGTATAGGATTAATTAAGAATTATACAAGGGTCATTAAAAACAAATTGTGCTTACTACAAGGAAGTTTCAATCTAGTTAGGGATACAAGACATACAGGAAAAATTGTTAACAATTACATATAACAGTATTATTTAATGGTCACAAAGCATTAAATTTCAGTACTGATAATACAATATTACAAAAATGTGCCAATAAGTCTTGATGCATCCTCAGCAGGTCACAGTGAAATAATGTGAGTTTCATAATAATTTCTTATGTGGCAAAAGTATTGGACTCCTTAGTATTTTTCTACTTGAAAAGACACTTTTAACTTTTCTACTGTAGACTCTCACTTGTAAAAAGTGGTAGCCAGATCAGATAGTTGATATGATCCCTTCCAACTATAATATATAATGATTTAATTGGAAAAGTTATATCTAAAAAAATCAATGAATACATTACCTTAACTTATACCTTTAATTTTCTTATTTATGAAAGTTAATTGAATATTTGTTGAACAGTTCAAAGTAGTTTATTAATTTTTTGCATGTTAAAAGTAACAGTGCTGGCAGTTCTTGTGCTTGCTTGTGTCTGTGCAGGTGATCTTAACCACTTCCAAAACAGCAGTTCTTGTCTTTTAAGACTGCAAGTCTGTGTTCTGTGCCTTTTTTTCTTTTCATCAAACTTCCCATGTGCTGATGAAAAAAACAAACTGTGCTATTTTTCTGGAACATTTTATCCTAGGAAAAACAATAGGGTGGAAAATGCTCATCCAAAATATTATAGGTACAGTAAATTGTCCCTGTTTTTTTAAAGAGTAGGAAAATACCAAAAATGATGAAATACCCAGGAAGATCTAGCTTCCTCTCGGTTCTTTTCGTTATTATTATTATTATTATTAAGGTTTTTATTTATGCATACAGAACTGGGATACAGGCCAAAGGTGCAGGGGCGTGACAGGATTCACTAGAAACAGAGTGGGGAGCAGAACAGGCAGATTGACGAAGTACACTGCAGAGGGGAGCAGTGGGCAAGACAGGAGAGGTGGCTAGCTTGTAGTGCTGTGCTTTAACCCGCTGCACCACCAGGTGGTTCTTAATTCAATGGTATACTTGTGATAGAGGCATGGCTTACACTAACGTTATCTTTAATCTCAATTTTCAGAAAAGACTAGTCTCATATACCTGTATTGTTTTGTCTCAGATTAAATGAGAAAATACACGCAGAAAACTTATTTTGGTATATAGTAAACACTCATTAAAAGTTGGCTGTTATTTTTATAATCAACTGGGTAGTGATTTCATAAAATGTATGCATTCTTTTTTTCATTAGTTTAGGCTATAAGAATTTTTTCAAAACAAATATACATTAATTTGAGGACAATGGAAATGCTAGTTTTAGATTTGCCTATCTTTGAAAATGGATAGCCTCAATGAATTCCAGATATGAAAGGGACCTTGATGTCTGGTCTAAGTTAAATATTAATTGATATACTTTATATCTTGAAAAGAGCAAAATTATAAAGCAAACAAGTATGAAGTGTTACATCTCCTAAAAGGTAAAATATCTAATATAAATCATACAAATCACTTCTGATAAAAGTGATCCTGAGCATGTTTATATTTATTCCTATAGATGTGCAAATGAAGATCTTTAAAATGTCGTGAAAGCTCTTGAAATAACTGAGTAACAGCCTGGGTAACTCTAAAATCATTGTTAAAATCATTCCGCTAGTGTGGAAATTCATCTGTTTGAATAATGAAACCTATATTTTATTTGGAGGGTACTATCCACCTCTATAATTTCATGCATCAAGGTTCATTTCAAAATAGTCCAACTGTCATCTACACAGAAACTGTATTACCAAAGGGCGAGTAAAATCTGGTTTGAGGTATGAGGACAGTGAAGAGCCGTTTTGATACTACAGTGGTACCTTTCACAGAGTGATCATGTAAGGAAAGTCTGGATGAATGAATAGCTCTGAACATAATTGCTTCCTGAAGAAGTAACATGGTAAAATGACTATTGATTGAGTGTTAGCATTCTCACAAAATTAGGAATGTCTAGTTTGGTGTCTTCTAGGTTCTTTTTTTTTAGATTTATTTATTTGTGCATTCAAGAGGTGGGGTGTATGCCAGAGATGCAGGGGGTGAGAAGATCACCAGAGATAAGAGTGGGGAGCAGAACAAGCAGATCTATTGAAATACACTGCTGAAGAGAGCCTCTGGCAAGACAGGAGAGGTCTGGTGTGCCAAGTGGGTCAGCTCGCTGCCTGGGTATCAAATTTCTGCTGCAGTGGCTGTAGATAGCTTCATAGTGCTGCTCTTTAAACCCTTGCACCACCAGAGAGGTCTTTCGGGCTTCTTTTTAAGGTTATTTTCCTTGTTCTGTTTGAAGAATCACAAAGGTTGTGATCACCTTCTTTGCAGGTCATTACCATAGCTCATCTAGTTATTCAGCAATCCAACATACAGTGAACATCTGGTGTGTTGGACCTATTCTTACTGGACCATTAGATTTAATATATTCACTTGTGATACTCAGTACCTAGAAAAGTACCTTACAAACAGTTAGGGCTTATGAATGAAACTGACCCAGAAAAATTCAAAAATTATTCTGTAATGTCCTCCAAAATAAACCCTACTTTTAATTTTGAGTAGGTATTTTTTTTTTGGACTTGGATAATTATTCAACAAACTTTCTAGAGAATTTCTGGATTTAAAAAGTGATAATTAAACTTCTTTAAAAATTAAACAATGTAAGGACTTCAACTTCTGCCCATAAGTTAGCTTTTGAACCTTTGATGACACAAATTGTTTTTCTCTGGACTTTCCTTAGGGAAGACTATTTACTGAACTTCAGAGTTATACCTGGTTTAAGTCCTAGCTCTATTCTTACAACTCTGTGACTCTAGGCAAGTTATTTCAATCATTTTACATTTTGAATGTCTCTTGCTAATTATTTAAGAAATGAGTGAATAAGAACAGAACTTAAAAGAGCCAGGATAGGCCCTCCCTGGTGGCGCAGCGGGTTAAAGCACTGCACTGGGAAGCTAAAGTCACTTCCGCATGAGTTCGCTTCCCGCCTGCCACCAGAGGTTACCACATGGCGTGGCAGACCTCTCCTGACCAGCCCGCTGCTCCTCTCAGCAGTGTACTTCATCGATCTGCCTGTTCTGCTCCCCACTCTGTCTCTGGTGAAGCCTCTCGCCACCCCAGAGCCTCTTGCCTGTACTCCAGTTCTGTATGTACAAATAAATAAATCTTTAAAAAAAAGTCAGGATAGAAGAAACTTATCTTGTGAGATCACTGCATTGAATAAAATATATGTAAAGCAACATTAAATTCTAAACATGGTTTCCCTCATGTTGTCTATACTGAAAGGACTATGTACACTATGGCAGGAGATTCCTTAAAGCAACAAGAAAAGAGCATAATCGGCCAAAATTAAGGTATCCACAGGGAATAGAATTGGACAAGACAAGAGACTATAATGGGGAGAAGGTAACAACTGTTCCATGAGAGGGAGATGTGGCTAGAGCTGACATTCAGTGATTCATAAATAGAAACAGTAATAAGAATACCCAACAATCCTCCATCACCAAAGCTTTTACTCATACTTCAT